CCGTCCCCCCCCCCCAATTCCACCCCCAATTCCACCCCCCAACCGTTGAATATTCAGATTTAACTTTAATAAGGAAAAAGTATAATGGAAATTTTGACTGTTGAAATCTCAATCTCTTATTACAAAACAACTTTATTAAATCCGAATATTCTTTTAATATAAAACAGTATATTGATTTTTTTTCTTTTTTTGGTTTTGTTTTATTTTTTGTTATTAGCGATTCATGGCATTACGCATCTTTTGAAAGGTAATATATAATAACATTTATTAGTGAAAAAGTGGAGGGATATATTGATTGCATTGCAGTGTGTAAAAAGATTATTAACCGTGAAAAATTGGACTAATTATACTACGAGACATAATCTACATTGAAGAAATGCAAACAACCGACGTAAATAATGAATCGATGAATAGACTAAGATGCAAATACACACAAAACTTCTCATTGTTTTTTTAGAAATTTTTTTCTTAACATTCGTCAAGCATAGATATCGCACGACTGTATGATTAATTGAATTAGCTTAAGTTACATTTAATTAACTATAAATCAACAAATACAAAAATTTTTTACACGCGTCTCTCGATTTATCGCACCATTGTATTATAGGCAAATAAAAGATTTGCTCGTAAATAAAAAATATAAAAAGAAAATTAAGCAAAATACCCGGTTAAAAGATTTTTCAACTCGCACAACACGTACATTTGTTATTGTAAAATTAAGCTGTCGAGCGTGGAGCCCCTGCATCGAATTATATAAGAATTGTTAATAAACATCATCGATCATTGTGCTTAACAAAGGCTTATAACAAATTTATTTTAAAATGTTATGCATTTTCTACGAAGCGATAACTGCCTTGATGGCTTAAGGCATATAAATGAGGCAAAATGCAGAATTAATGTAAATCATAATGAAATATAGTTTTTTTTTTTTTTGTAAGTGTTAAAGTTTTCATAGCCACTTGTAACTTTCTATGAAACTAATGACATTATTCGCCCTCGATTATGTCTCGAGTTAAGCATTGAAGATATATAATTCAGAAGATAAGTAAAAAGTTCTCATTCACGTTACTCGTCATTTATATTAGGAGAACAAACATTCGTTACGAGAACAGATCATAACATTAATGTTCCTATACTCATAATATGATGAGTAAGGGACATTTAGAATGAATATGAAATTTTAGGTTTATTATTAGGAATATAAATTGTACTTAAGACAGTCAATTGGCCATAAAGCTTATATTTCAGATAAGTCGGATAAGTCTTGTAAAACAACATAATAAATAATTAGTGGAAAAATTCTATTTGAAAGTTAATAAATGGCCCAATTTATATTTCAAATTTACAAATAATAATAACGATCAATTTATTAAGAACTTTGATATGCATTGATATGCAATTGTTTGCTGTTGTTGTTAGTGTTGTTGATTTCTTTCTTTTTTTTCTTTTTTTTTTTTTTTTTTGATCGTAAACTTATACAAATAACAATTAGGCGTAAATCTTCTATTGATATTAATAATAATTATATGTTCTATAAATATATAACCTTGTATTTTAATGTACGTTTTAATAACACAATAAAAATTAATATTCATTTTAAGATTGAAATGAGGAAAGCGTTATAAAATACTTATACATTTTAAGTATGAATATTATTACAAATTAACGACATTTCTTTTCTTTTTCTTTTTTTTCTTTTTTTTTTATTTATTATTATTATTATTATTATTATTTTTTTTTTTGTTTTTTTTTTTATGAAATGACATTATATTTAGATTGATAAAAATGCATTATCAATGCTTTAATAATTAAAAAAATTAACGAGTTATATTTTCACTTTAAATATACTCATAATGATATGAAATTAAATAAAAATTTTTTTTTTTAATTATCGCTATAATAGTACACGTTCATTATTACAGGAATATATAATTATTTTAATAAAAATACTTATATCAATTGAAAAACAGTTATCGGAGCCTAGTATAAAGAATATATTAAGTGAAATGTATAAATTAATGTAGAGACACTTGACTTAATAAAATTGATCATGAGTCACGTAATAATATATTTTAAAATTATAAAAACATTAGTAAGCCTACAAAAAAGTTAATATACTTCCAAGTATATATAAACATTTGTATTAAATGGATGTCTTTTTGAAAGAAAGGAAGTCTTGTATTATGATCCCTGTGGATAGAATTTTTAAATAAATATACATAACCAATCTTAAATTATCTTACTCGCCAAGATTATCTTCATTGTAATAAACACTTTTCAAAGCATTCATACTTAAGCATATTCGTGCTTTATTAAAATATATCTTCGATCTTAATAATTCTTTACGTAACAAATGGTATTTATTACCTTATTAGCTCGATACATGCGAATGTCATTACAACTAATTAATTTTATTCCCAAGTACTTGTTAGGGCGTCAAATTTCTTGTAGGCTCAAATTATTTTATTGTAAAATAATCTATTATAAATAATGTAACGAATAAAATACGTTTACAAATTCAGCGGCCTAATATTAAATCGTCTAGTAATTGGCATTCATAGGTGCGCATATCTGATCAGAAAAAGAAAAACGAGGATCAGAGGAAGGAGATCGACACACCGATGTCACAGCCATTAGAAATCTACTATTATTATTATTATAAAGGCTTTGACAAGCAAATAAGCTTACTTTTTTTTTTTTATTTATTTTTAACGCGTACGCGAGTGTCTGGCATTAAAAAATTGCTTAGTAGAGAAAATAAAGACTACAATGAATGATTTTATATTAGCGCTGAGTCAATTTTAACCACCGTTCATGCTTCGTTAATATTCCTTTCTCAATTTCGTATTTTCTCGCTGACGAATATCATTAGTTCGCATAAATGTTGGTTGAATGTAAGAGTTCAGTTTATAAGAGCCTCGCTTAGATACATAAATATTTAAGTAAATGCGCAAGTTACTCTCGTTCCTTCAACTACATTAACTGACACTACTCTCACGATACAATTATTTAACAGTGAAATTTGTGTTAAAATTAGATATTTCGGGGTTGCTATTATTTCAGGATGGTTTTGTACTCTCTTGGATTCTGTCTTGGCATTTGTTGTTGGTAACCGTTTCCCTTCGAGTTCTGTTATTAACCTAAATCACGTACTTGAATCTGAGATAGTGTATAAACAGCACTCGCGTGCTTACTTAAATGCGTAATCAAAAGGTTTGAGATTTTAACTGATGTAAATAACTAGATTTCAGTCACGACGAATGCTTGGTCATTTGCATTTCAAATTTTCCAACTTATTTATACGCGCTTTGAAAAAATGTTTACTTCTGATAACGCGACTGGCTGGCTCGTTGGCTAGTCTCACTTGACTTGGAAAAATTCACTCGAGTGCAGGAAGTTAAATGTCGCGCAAATTTTTAAGAAAGCAGATCGTCAACATTAGCATTATAACATGTTTTTCAAGAAATATAAAATCCATTACAATGTAAATACCGTTTTTTCCAGACTTATTTCACCGCATATTTAATTACGAAACAATAATTTTACAACATAAGTTTACCACAAATTTATCTTTTACAATTTATTTCTATAAGTGTAGAATAATAATAGTGCATGGTCATTGAAAGATAGAGATAGATATATAGAGAAAGAGAAAGAGAAAGAGAGAGAGAGAGAGAGAGAGAGAGAGAAAATATAATTAATAAATACTTGTTCAAACACACGTTTATAAGAATAAATTTTAATTCTACCATACAAATACTGAATAGCACGTACATTAATTGGATTTGTATTAATTAATTTTAATCTTTCAATTAAGACAAAATACATCATATAATATTTGGGGTAATTTCAATCGAACCATCTCTTGTTTACATAAAATGATAGAAGCGAAACGATAGAAATGAATATTTTTCTCATTGTAAAGATAAAACCTTTTTTGAAATGCGAGATATCACGATAAACATGAATAAAAAGATTAGTTCTTGAACGATCGAATAAATATTGCATAATTCTAGTAATAAATCTCTCCGTATAAGCTAGCCACATCATTATTGGAAAAGTGCATTCATAACTCGAGCGCGGAAGCATGGAAAAATACGGTTCTGAGTTATCAGATGACTTGGATTCATCGTTGTTATTGCAAAAATATTATTCAAACATCGACTCACCAAAGTCAGCAGTAGTTTGACGCCCTTCTCGTTCAAGTAAATGGCCAGACTGTCGACATATTCAACCTCGTCGACGGCGTATCGTTCGCGAAGCTCGTCTAGGGTACTGATCTTGCCCATCCATGTCTCGTACTCCTCGGGTAAGCGCGGGAAGAAGAGGATCGAGCGACCAGTCTCAAGGTCTAAGGCTCCGTAGCAATCCGGTTCCTCTACGCCGAAGCACCACTGAAAGAAGGACTCCTGCGAGCGGATCGACCAGTCAGTTTTGCATTAATTATAAAGGAGTCATTGCGGATTGATGTTCGCGCGAGTGTCATGTGCAAGAGGAAATACAGTCCGAGTATTGCCGATCCAACTGGTTTCCTTCTTACGTGTTATCTCATTATAAAAGTTTTATCGCCGTATTCGCGCTGTAAATAGACTTATTGTTACAAAATTCGTGGACTACACTCTAAATTCTAGCTAATCTATGTTACTTGTATTTAAACGACATACAATTGTTATTAGTTCGCATATTTGAAAAATATATTTTCATGAAGTCTCATTAAGAAAGTGCATTTGTATTTGTGTATTTCGTTTCTGCGCAATTTACAAGTAGGCAATTTTGATGTCGAAAATTAATATGAGAAAAACTTACCGTTCTCGCGAAGATATTTAAAAATATTGTTGACTGATATAAAAGCGTCGATTAATTACGCGTGAGCGAACATAAACATTTTTGTCCATAAAAATTTTGAATTAAAATCGTCATATAAATTCATTCGAATTCATCAACATCTATATAAGTTATCTATATAATACATGAAAATAAATTTACATGCACTTACACGTAATGTGAATTTGTTAAAATTCATATTACAAAATAAGCTTCCTTAAAAACGAAACTTAAAATTTACATAAAAATTAGCTCCAAATTATATTCGTAATAAACACTTAAACGGATAAGTTTGACTATTAGAAAGTCATACGCCAGGCTGACTAATATTACTTAATTTGTCTAACGAGACTTCTTCATTCACATTGAGAAATATTTTGTTTCAATATTTTGAAAAAATATATAACAAAAAAGTACGATATTAAAACGAATAAAAATGATATAAAAACGTTCATAGCACTATTAAGGATAACCATTCAAAAAGAAGTTGAAGGGATTTTAGTAGAAATAAAAGTACAGTTTAGAAAGAAATTAAAAAAAAAAAATAAAACACGTTATGGGTCATATATCAAAAGTAAAAATTAGAATTAATCATTTTTCAATATAACATTGAAAGACTTGGCATTATCCTAGAGCTTTACATAATGATTAAATATATTTTCTGAATTATACATGTTGCTTTAATTTATATAATTTATATAATCATTGCGTCATTTAATATTTGCACATTAATATTTAATCTAATTCTGTTGCTGAACGAAGATAGCTTAAAATATTAACTCGTAATATTTTAATATCATGAAATATATTATAATATTACACATAAGCTCTTGAAGTACAAGCGTAATAAAAAAAAAATAAAAAAAAATACACGTTAATTAGATATTCATTTGGATAAAATTGACAATGAAGATTTACTAAAATCGAAAACAATCATAACAATAGATAAGACAATTACTCTTTCATAATAAATGCGCTTAAATATTTATTAAACGTAAACAGTTGTGTTTTGTATGAAACGGTCAAGTAAAAATTTTTTCTTTATTGAAAAATTTCATTATAATGAATGAAAAATTTATTTTTCAAGCAAAAAAAAAAAACAAAAAAAAAAGTCTTCGAATAATACATACGTTTTCATAATGAATAATATAAAATAACAGAATAAGAATCGTGTACACATGATGTTTTTCAATAAAACCAAAATATCATAAATATTTTACGCGTGATTGTCATTTTTATTAAGAAATTATTATAAAGTTATTCTAACGTTTTCATTCAATTGAAATATTATTATGCCAATACCTTTGAAAGATTCATTATATATTAAAATAATTCAGCAAACAATAAATACTTATTCATGCATAAAAACAGATTACCTTATAATTATTTGATACATATTTTAGGCAAATATTGAAATACCAAAAGTTAAATTGTCATAGGCAAACGAAACATCAAAAAGAAAAACTTAAATATGTTTTCTTGGCATTGCAATAAAATTTTACATGTAATACTCAATTCATTCTATTAATATTAATTATTATACTACTGTTATTTAGGTGGTTAATTATTTTCTAACTATTTATTTAATCATTATACTTTGCAATTAATACATTATATAAACAACAATAAAGAGTTTTTTTTTTTTTTTTTTTTTTTTTTTTTAATAATAATTAAGCTTATTTTTAGCATCCAAGTATTAACTTTGTATAGCATATAAAATGAATTGAGATAATAAAAAATTATAAAAACATGATTACAGTATTTTGGTGCATGTATATAATTATACATTATGTTTAAAATTTTTCCCAAGCTTTCTTTACTTTTGTTATGTTGAATTTCATAAATATACCTTTATGTATATGGTATTGCTTTACGTATAAAAAAAATTTAATAAAATACGCTAAATTCTCTTTATGAATAATGAAGTTAAATGTAAACATTATTCATTATTTAATAAATCAATCCTATTCACAAATAAAATAGAATAACAATATTTATGTGTGTGTGTGTGTGTGTGTGTGTGTGTGTGTGTGTTGTGAATAAAAAAGCAATTGATGTTGGTAAAAATTGGGCAATTATTTAGATTAAGAAAGATTTTTAGCTTCATCGATTATTATAATAAATATATGGAAAAGAAATAATAAATGAACGATAAAAGATACACTTGGTTCGTGTAATTGCAGACTGAATAATGTTTATGAAGTAGTAAGAGAAATAACTGTTGTTAGAATAAACATCTATTGAATATAAACAAAGAAAAATATTATTTGATAATTGGACTAAATTGATGTTTATAAATGGTCATAGCGCCTTTTACTTTTACTCCTTATTGATTTAAAGAATAATAAATTACTAACACATTTCCAATTTTTATTTGTAAAACAATTGCATGATTAACACAATAGTGCGATCAAATTGTAGGTAAATGAATTAGGTAAATGAAATACGGTGTTATTGTTTTCAATACCAATTCAAGCCATTGTTACGCAGTTTGTTTTTATTTTGGAATAATAACGTTTTTCTTGCTAATTATAATAATTTAAATCAGCAAGTAGCGCTAATTTGGAGTCGACCCCTTCAAGTATGATTATACGTAATAGTAATTCGAATTATAATAATGCAGAATGTCTAATAAGTCTAATAGCCCATTAATTTTCCAAGGGCCATTCATACCCGAGATTACCAAATAAATTAAAACCTGTTATTCGTAATGTCGTTACTTGGGCCAAGCTAACGCTGACCTCGTACACATTCTCGTTGAATACAAGCAGTTACCATATCAAGCTCATAAAACGTCGTAATGTTCCAAGTTGAACTTTATCATCAACGGCTCCTTAAGAATAAATTTTATCTATGAGCTCGCAGCAGATCCTCGTAATTTCTTAGATCCTCGCTCTAGCCGAATCACGTAATTTTTCATTTTACGCGCGCACGAAGCCGAATACAATCAGATGCCACCGGAAGCACTTGTAAAGCTGACAAAATAAAGCTCAAATCTTAATACATAAGCATTATGTAGTCAAAATAACAAATGACATATATTGTGCAATAAAACTTCGTGGCGGTTTCAATGGATCTCGTTATCGATGGCCTTGTGTTCGTAGACTACACGTACGACAAACGGAAAAACTTACGGTCATAAAAGCTCTCTATACCTGGATCTCGTCGATAGTCAGAGTCAATAAGAAAATTGAATAATTGTTAAGCTATTTTTCAATTGAATATAAAGACGCTCGTTAGAATAATGAGATAGAGCGAAGGTAGCGAATGCTTATGACAGAGCAACAACTTTTTCTCGGTCATTTTGGAAACCTTCGGCGAGCAGTAGTGTAAAGGTTTATCGTTACTATTAGCTTTAATATTCTTATTATTAGTATCTTTTTGCTATATCAGTGGAATTTCGTTAATAAAATGACGAGTAAGAAGTAATTTAAACGATGAGGGTCTGGAAACTCACTAATATGATTTTTAATATCGTGATTAAGATTTTCGTTTACGACGCTCGACCTTATGGTAATAAATAAGTAACGTAATAAATAATAAACTTATTCGTAGCGCGTTAAATTAGAATAACACATCAAGCACTTAATAAAACTCACAGTGCGCACGAGCAATATCCCATTATAATAATTAGCAAATCGATAAATGCACGATATTTCGACACTTTGTTGACGTAAGCCAATGGTAAAAGTACAATTACGGGCATAATTTTCAATTCGTATCCACGACAAATTTCCATCCCATTACTCAGCTTAGCTGACAATAAATACGTTAATTGGACTGAAATATTCTCAAATAGCACAGTAAGACTTTATTACGACCATGAAACTGAAAGTAACGAAAATTGCGAGAGCGTGCGATGAAGGTAGAGAAGCCAGAAGAGTCGTGCTGCGTCTCTCGCCCCAGCAAGAGAGATAAGTGGCTGAGGGTCAATGTGCCCTCTCTTTCTCTCTCACTCTCTCACTCTCTCTCTCTCTATCTCTCTATCTCTCTCTCTCTCTCTCTCTCTCACTCACTCACTCTCGGCAGAGTGGTGAGTCTTGGAAAGGAGTTGAAAGAACGAAGCCGAAGTAGGCGCGAGCGTACGTACACGCAAACCGTGCACACTCACACAAACACACGTATTCGAAAGTTTCCACGAGTCGAGGCATCTGCGAGCGGCGATTTTTTCACTTCCCCTACGGGGATGGCATCTAGTTCGATCGGAGAATGTCTTTGCTTGCATCGCAGCGATAATCATCACGAGACTCGGGTGACAACGTTCGCAGCGTGACGTTAACCATTTGCACGTTTAAAGCTGCAAAAGTAAGCGAGCAAACTTACTTAAGGAGCAAGTACGCTATTATTATTATTATTATTATTATTATTATTATTATTATTATTATTATTAGTTCGAGGCTTCTATTGGAATTCTATACCGAGCAATCCTTAGCTGTTATTCGTTATTGCACCAAGACTCGGTTACGATTAAAAAATTGGAATTTTGCGAAATGTACTGTTGGCGCGATGGTGTATGAAAGGTGTGAAAGAACGTAAAAATAAAACTAAGCAAATAATAAGGGATAAACGGACTTGTTGACGGTGCTCTCCAACGAACATGTAAACACAAGAGCGAGGATCTTGCGTGACTTCGATTCAATAATATAATACAAGTATTTACATGTTTAAGGCAACGTTTTGTTTGGCTTTTCTCATATCGGCACGTCATGATAAATATATCAAATATACTTAGTCCGTCTACTTTGGGTTTTCACCACATACACGTGGCAGTATTGTGAAAAGTGCCATTTAAAATAAAACATTTATCTTTAATCAGCGTCCCACATGCTACATGCAGCGAAATTATTGAATCCGATTTCACCGCACAGTAACAAACAGTAATATTCATAATAACATGTCCATCCCCCTCCGTCGAATCCATTACACTCGCGTCATGCACACGTGCATACACGCACATTACACGCTATCCCGATCTTTGTACGAGTAGCATCGTTGAGACGATTCAACATCGCCAAGAATACATAGCATAAAATGAGGAAATGAAAGTGCCACCTTTGGCACGGCATTCTCAGCATCCGAATCATTTATCCATTGACCTCCTTAGCCACTCCATGATTTCGATTACCGAATCTCGACGAAATCGCCCGATTTACCCGAAAAGCACGGATTACGCGTTGCATTGGAAACCAGCAGAACTCGACTCCGCTCCCACGGTCTAATTAACCTGGGGGGCAGTGAGGGGGAGTGGGAGGTGGGTGAGTTGGGAAGGGAGCCGTGGTAGGTAGCGCACCTGCCTGAACGGCCAATTGACATCGGTGTCGTTGAAGGGTACGTCGACGCCACCCTGCAGTAGAACGTAGCAACCCTTTGGCTGCTTAACTTTCGAATTGGTCCGCAGTCGATCGATCAAGCGCCTTCGGTTATCCTCGAACAATGACATCGGGACCTTGAGCGTCTTATCGCCTCTCGAGAAATACGCTGGTGCCATCGTATGTCTGAAACGATGTGGTTGTATGCGTTAGGCTGCCTGTATGTTGTCAATTATGCGAGTGCCCGATTCGATAAGGGAAAAGGAAATTGTCGTTAAAACAAAACAAAAAACAAAAAACAAAAAACAAAAAAAAACAAAATAAAATAAGAACGCAACGCTATCGCAAACGAAAGAAATATTATATTATGCCACATTTGAAATTTAAAAATGATACAAATCACTAAAAGACCCACATTTGCGCAATAGCCCATAATAACAATAATCGATCGATCGATCCCAATAATAATAACAATAATAATTATTATATTATAGTAATAATTATAATAGGCCTCCCTTAATTACTAAATGCTATAATTTCATTTGTATGTTTATAAATTTATTACCATTCGAATTCCAATATCATAAAATCTGAGCATTCTTAAGCATTTAAGTACATTAAAATATTCATAGGCTAGTTTTTGTTTCGCCATTTCTTACGAATTATTCAAATACTGATGAAGTGATATTGAATATAAAATTATCAATCGCATGGAAATATTCAAAATATTTACAAAATACTTGGAAATATAATTGAAAAATAATTAGTAAACATTAACAATTAAGATTAATTAAATTTTATGAAACGATAAAAATTATTAATGGATTAGCTTAAAATCCGAAGATTCAAAGTATCGTGAAAATCTTTTAAACGATGTTAATTATACGAATCTGTAATCAGGTTCTTTTAAACACAAACTCGTAACTAGTTATGTCAGCGATTTATGTATAATGTAATTATAAAGATGAATTTATTAAAAAATAATTTAAATTAATAATGAAAGTATGTATATATATATATAATATATTAAATTGTAATTATATATCATTTGGATAATCTGAGGAGAGAGAAAAGATGCGTAGAGAGTGGGAGAAGAAATGAAGAAGGGAATGAGAAATTCGATCTATTATTGCCAATGTGTTTTGAGACGATTAAAAAGATGTTTAAAAAAATAGCTGATCAAGTATGAAATGTAATAATCGTTTAAAAGAAAACCTACAAAGATTTCCATGCTTATTTTTATTAAATACATTAGAATTAAAAAATAAAAATATCGAATCAAATTTTGATTGTAATGATCAATTCAAAATTAATATAAGAGCTATACTATTGTCTTTATAAATATATAAAAGTTGTATATGGAATATCTAACTTTTGAAAATTATCATTCATAGAATTGAAATAATAATATTTCCCGTCAAATCTCTAAGAATAACATCTATCTGCGATTGAATATTCAAAACATTAAATATACAGGTTTTTGCTTAAGAATAGGATTATTGATTCTATTTAATATCAATGAAATAAACAATTGCCAGTTTATAGTATAATTTCATATAAATAAAAATAGATATATGAAAAAAGTATAATAAATAAAGAAAACTAATGAACGCAAGAGAATAAATAGAAATGAAATTCTGCGATAATATGGAATATTTACATTTACGTATAAATTACTATTAATAATCATTAATACTATTAGATTTTATATTATTGAATGGGATAACTAAGTCGTTACAATGTGATAAATGCGATAGAATAGTTTGGTGAGTTGTGCGAATTTGTAAAGGTAAACAGGGAGTAAGTTTGTTTCGTTGAACACAAGAGACAGACGAAATTGATTGGAAATATAGATTTTACAAAATTCTCCAATAAAAAAGTACTTACCACACGAGACCATAGACATTTTAACAAACATTGACAATTCGATCTTCATTAATGACTGATGCAAATATAAAATTTTACAATCTGCAAATGAATCTTCAGGTACCTACGTTCCACCTGCTCTAATGTACATTCTCAAAAGAAACTTTTCCGTACGAATTACAAATGATTGAACAATTCATTCTCAATTATTTATTAATAATCGTTCGAAATAACTCACTATTGTCAGTTTTAATTGAAAATATAATAATGTGTATGAATAATGAGAATTAAAAATAAATAAATACAATTGCACTTTCATATTAAGAAATAAAGCTTTTTTCGCTAGCTATTGTAGCATAATTTTTATTCGCTCGGATCGGGTTATGAATACGGAATAATGAAAGAAATGCAATTAGAGCGTTTTGATCAGTTCATTATTATTCGACCAGAACGTAATGAAAAATTTCAATACGATATTCGAAAAAGCCTATTAAAGATTACCTCGAAGATAGCTCACGATTTTCCAAATATAGGGAAATGAAATTTAAGAGCAGACTACTACGACAAGTACACTTGCTCTTTGCATTCACTTTGGCTAATGTCTGAGAATATTACACAACTACGAATTATAAGAAAACATTAAGCGACATATTCCTTGATAAGCGCACATCAAAGAAAAATTAAGTAGCTGCTCATGAATACTAGGAACGAGACAATTCAGTGTTGTAGAGATGGAAAAACAATTTAATGCACATAAAAATGCAAAATGTAACGAAAGCGAGATAGAAGGTAATAAAATGTCATAGGAGAAACTAATATATATATATATATATATATATATATATATATATAATGAAAAATATAGTGTATAAAAGTAAAAATCTTCATGATAGAGAAAGTGATTGCAATTGTGGCCTACGAGCGAGCTGATTTAATCGGTATAAATTGAATTACGAGTAGATATTAGCGGAAGAAAAGAAATTGTATAGTGTCGAACTAGATATATATTGATTAGCATAACGAATTTATAGTTGATAGAAATGTCAGAATTATATAAAAATGCATTCTAATAATTAAAACGTGTGTCGCGTAGCGATTGTATATGGAAAACTAAGAGAAAGCAGTTTGAATTTTTTCACATCAATGAAATTAATTGTGTAACATTTAAGATTTTACAGAGTATACTTCTTAGATATTATAAACTCTTTATTTTCTCATCATTTCTATTATCCATATATATATATATATATATATATATATATATATACATAAATATAAATACAATATTTCAATCTTTTTATCAACGTTGACAAAATATAAATCGATATTTACAGTTCGTTAACAGATATTTACAGCTCGATAAGTAACCAATTTATTAATTATAAAACGAAAGCGTAGTTTTATTATTTTATGCACATGCAAAAATTCATACTAAAATCACAAAAAATAATAAGTCACAGAATTCCTGTGGACGAAGTAACAACTCAACATACATACGATCCAAAGCTGTAGAAGCTGTAAAGTAAGTTTTGCATTGATGAAAAGATTTTTGCAACTTCCAAGTGCTCTGGCAATACAAGAGTCGTGGCCACATTAATCGTTCTTGCGTGGGTCCCTTACATTTAAACAATAACGACGACGAGGAGGATAAAAATCTTTGCTCAGAGATTAGAATCTTGGAGAATTGTCTGACTGCGCCCATTGACTTCGCAATCAATTCCGATCCTAGGCTTCTGTTTATTTTTCCGTGAACGTTTTCCTAAAACCTTCTCTCGACCTGATGTTTACTTTGACTTGCGTTTCATTGTCCTTTACCTGTCAAAAGCAAATCGGGTTCACTTTTACTTACAACATTCTCATTGCCAATCACTCTGACTTACACCTTCTTCTGATTACCCATAATATAAATAATGCAAAAATTTTTGCATAAAACACAAATTTTCTCGAAACATATGATTAGACATTTGAATAACGATATTATAGAAGCGTAATAACGATAAATAAACTTTGCTAGATATAATTTAAAAATATGTACTCTAGATGTGTCATTTTGATAAATTTTAATCGAATTGAGCTGGAAAATGGAATAAAAAAAAATTTTTTTTTCTCTCTTAAGTTTTAAAAAATCTTAAGTAGTAGTAGTAGTACATGCTAATGTGAATCATCAAGACGATGCGCAATTGAAACTATTAAAATAACCAAATTGTACAATTTATCTAATGATGAGCAATTGCTTCAAAGGGAGCAATTTTTTATCACCAAGATCATATTCATTACTTATTATCGAAATTCATTCGCTATTATATCTTTTTCAATAATTTCGATACTTATTATTCGCTACTTCATCGCAACATTTATTTATTTAAAACATACTTATGGTATTATTATTAGAAAATATTATTTCACGTTTAAGTGCCTACATATTAAATAAAAAATATGGGAATAATGGTGAGTGTTTAAGGCCAGTGGGAAGTTAATGATCACCGACATATCGAGAATAAAGTGGAACATCCATAAGTGACAAGTATTTTGTTCTGAAATAATTCGTTACTCAACTTCGTCACTAGATTATAAGAAAAAACTAATATAAGGAAGAAAATTTGTTACTCCAACACTTTCATCCGATGATTCAGGAATTACAATTAGTTAGTATAACAAACCGCTTCTTTTTTTGAACAATTTACATTATTATGATTCTCGAATAAATCATCCTTAAAGTTTATTATTTTACTTTGAAATTTATATTAAACATTCTTCACATATCATGTCATTCGATAATAATAATTTATTAAAAGAAATATAATTTCACGGATAATATAAAAGGCACTTTTTCGATCGACAAATATTCCGAAATCCTTTAATATTGTTTAATTTTTCACGAAGTACAGGAAAGATTAATGGCTCGCTAAGAAAAAAGAAATAAATAAATAAAAAAATAAATAAATAAATAAATAAAACTCAATTTGATATAATAATGTAAAACAGCAACAAAAAAAAAAATATGTAAGAAATAAGATTACTTCTTTATTTCAGGACTTTTTATCTTATTAAAGACATAAGGTTTGAGCGAAAGAAATTTGTATAAATATACTACGTTAGTAGATTTTCAAACTTTATGAAATTTCAAATTATATTAATTAATTAAAATTTAATTTTGTACTTCATAAATCGTGAGAATAAAAAATATAAATTATCAAATAATAATCTTGGAGTCTTTGTGTAGTTGATATATGAGAAAATTACTTTTATAAAAAATCACTTAATGGCCGAGGATGGGGGAACACGTATGAGGCAGGAGAAAGAAAGAGAGACATACAGAGATTGTGTAAAGTGTTGCGGATAATTGTGTATGTAAACAGAAATTGCTCTTCGTTTGGTCTTGGCGACCGCAATATCGTAATCGTGTCATTTTCATTGATATACGGTTCTTCTATTCTTATATAAAAGACTGTGTATACATGTGTTGGCAATTTCTAATTCATCGTGACGACCTCGTAAGCTTCCACAAATTGCCTTGCAAAACGAATACACATTCACGATACGCATAGATGTGTAAGTGTGTATGTTGTACCAAACTGATATGAACGTTTGAAAGACCGGTTTTTCTTCCATTGGAATGGAGCATTGCTGCTGCTGCTGCTGCTGCTGTTGCTGTTGCTGACTCATCACCACTGTTCCTTTCGTCCTTTTACTTATTTTTCTTTCTCTCCATTTTTCCATTGGTACATTGAATTATGCCGGATTACGTTTAGCACGTAATAGAATATTATAGCCGAATTTTATTTAAACGTCTCTTAAGATTTATTCTTGTAATTCAAAGTATTAAGAAACGCAATCACACATAAATAGTTTGGCTTCACATTTCCATTTTATTATACTAGAAACATCAACGTGCAAATTTACATAGATTTATGCAACATTATATACTTAGAAATCAAACAATGTTTTGGAGACAAATGTTTTTTTAGAATAGACTTTGGATTTTCAGTACTGACCTAGTAAGGACTAGGCTTGTACAAAAAAAAAAAGAAAAAAAAAGATGAATAATAAACAAACATTTTAATTACGATCTGATAAAACTTCTTTTAAGATTACATCAATTTCATAACAGTTGAGTGTTAAGAATTTTCATTATTCAAATTAACATTATTACTATTACGTTTTCCAAATAATCCCTTAAGCCAATATCCTTCCTAACAATCGAAATCAAATATTCAATAAATAATTGGCGAATATGAAATGGCTACAACTACATTACAATTGAATATCTTTTACAAATTATTGTTTATATCAAGATAAATAATCAGACATGAGATATATTGTATTAAAAGGGTTATTTAGAGCTCGTAATCAGGACATGATGTAGAAAGCGTTACGTTTCTGATAAATGTCTATTTAAGGTCAACTAATCAGAAACTCTTATCAAATAGAACTTGCTGTGTTTGGTTTCACTTTACGCGTTCTTTTGAATAGATCAATCGCTACATGAATATTTTATCATTTAAGACAGGAATTCGAGCATTACAACGGCAATTATAGCATTTAAAACGAGATCATGAATTATTATCTTTTTCATCATTTAAATGTATATAAAATATATATATATATATATATATATATATATATAGCATTAGAATCAAACAGAATAATTTGTAATATGAAATGCATATGAATATTGAATTGTATATGAAATTTTTCTTTTCTCACGAATTATTACATTTCATTTATCATTGATAACATAGTAATAAAAGGATCCGATACGTAGAACATTATTTTTCAAAGATAATTGAATAATAAAAAGAGTTAGGTATTGAGTAAAAAAAATTATTAAAATATTTCTAATGAATAAAGAAGTTTAATTGGGGGAAGAAAAAAAAAAGAAATATATATATGTTAATTATGTGGCTGAAAATAATGAAAAATCCATACTTTTACATTTTGCAATAAAGTTGGAACGATAATAATTCTTTTATTAAGATGAACAAAAAAATTATAAAAGAAAAATAGGAATTCAGCTTGTATAAAGAATAATAAGAATGAATAGACAAAAATTAATTCGGCAAATTAGTAATTTTTTTTCTGTTTACAAATAAAATTGATTTTTACTCATTTATCGTGTAAAATCATTACATACGATCAAATATCCAATATTATCTCGAATAACTTTATTTTCAAAGAATTTTAAACAACGTGAAATGATAATGTTATTTTATTAATTAACGGCAAATACATCGAGAGCTATTTAATTGATTTTATTTAATTTTTTGCCCGTAATTTTCAATAATCTTAATATCTTATCTTTACAATAATAGAATATATCGTATTATTGCAGAGTTTTATATTAAATTATCAAAATCTTATTATCGCTTAAATGCCATATTTAATAATTCTATATAATCAAAGATAACCGGTTTAATCGATAATAATAAAACAAAACAAAAAAATTTATAACATTTTCAATTAACTTAATCTACATTAGAGCCAATAATATTATGTGCAATAATCGATTTTATAACTTAAGTAATTAAACCTTAAGATTATTATAATTCTAATCAAAATGCTTAAATTGGTAAACATTGTAATGTATACGCTCTAATTATTTAAAATTTCTAAAAATTAAATCATACCAATAAAGATATCTAGTCCTGTCGTACAATGAAGAATTAAAAATGTAATAATAATTATTAAATTGAACATTTAAATTGCATACGCTAACATTAATTTTTATGTTACTTTTTATTATCGAAAAAAAAACATTATTCGTGTTCTCTTTATTTTGACATTCAAAGATGAAAAATATTTTTAACGAAGATTTTCAATCTTCATAAGTTGTAGAACAAATTGCACTTGACTTTGTTTAAAAAAAAAAAAAATATATATATATATATATATATATATATATAGTTTTTTTTTTGTTTTTTTTTGCTATTTTTTTTTTGTTTTTTGTTCTTTCCACAATACTATTTATAATATATGATAACTTTCAAGCTATAAATAATAGCTGTGAGAGAAAAAATTCTCATTGTATTAATAATGATGTATTAATAGTAAATCTGTACATAATAATAGATAATAATTGATCAGAGAATCGATAGTAATGATCGACGAAGCAAATTTATCTATATAGAGCGAAATGAAAGAACTTCGGTGAATAATAGCCACTACGAAAAATACAAATGTCTCGTTACGCTCATGAATAATGCAAATCCTGAATCAAGTTGTTACTCATTTCTACCAAGACCTTGGAAAATAAAACGGTACAACAGTGGAGCCAACTCCAAATGACGCTTAACCAATGTATAAGGGGGCTTACATGGAACAAAGATTCGTGATTCAAAGTTTATATTACACAGATGCAATAGTCTCTTAAAGCTTATGTGTACTGAATATGGAAATTATTTAATGCAACATTTTGTTTCCATTTCATATAGTTTGTTATGTGTATTAAAAGTAACCGTTTACGAGATTCTTTTGCTCCTTGACTCTGTGGCTGGATATCCAACCGCGATATTCTGGAAAAATCTTAACCCCATTGCGTATTTCGAGAATGTAGCATACATTATACGTAAAAATTCAACGTATTTAATTAAGGATATTATTCATAAATTTAGTCA